GAGTTTTTCTAACAAATATGTTGTGCTTGACGATATTGGGAAACATTTTTTGGATCGTGCTGTCGAGTTGGTCAAATCTGGGATGAAATTTGTCTATGTGGTTGATACATAGATTGGGAAGAGAAAGTGCATGACATGAGAGCAGACCATCAAAACAAGAGTGTGCATGCATGTGCAACTAGCATGGTGTTCAACAGAGTGCCAAGTGACTTACCTGACAATGGTCCACAGAAAGATATCGCAACTTGCAATTTTCGTGAAATTGTTTCATTGTCAGATGCAGAAATGACAAACAATTCGGAATCGGTATAAAGTATTCATTGCGAGAATCCTGGTTCAAAAGTTCACTGAACTATTTGGTTAAAGTCCTACATTCCAGAGGATCTTGTACTCATGAAAATTCTGAGAAGACAGCTTTGAAATCGAAATTATGACCCTTCCAGTTCTCATGAAGGATGAAAAAAAGTACAGTGACTGTGTGATGTTTTGGATCAATTGGAGCAATGGACAGAGGATGTGTGAAAGCTAGTGGCAATACAACTTTGATCAATTCTCCATCTACAGCTTCCCATCCTATTGTTCAGGTGCCCACACGCCAGATCAACCACGATCACATATATCCAGAGTTGGTTCCCAAACTGATCCTTTAGAAGGTGTGAAAATTCCCTGTTTTGGTGATGAGTTGACCCGAGTAAGGTTTGCTGGAGCACGAGATCTTCGCTCTGGATGCCATACACCCAAACAAGACTGGATCATTTGTACCGTATCGCATTGTTGGATGGCATGCTAAAAGAAGTTCTTAAAGGTAAATTCCTGGTCATGATATGATTTCCTGTTACAAATTGTGTTATGTTACTCTTTTATATCATTGACACTACCAGTTGTTTATAATCCTGAAAGGTTTTAAAATACATTTTGAACAAATTTATTTGTTTTTGTTTCAAACCTAACATATAAAAACCTCGAAAAAAGCAATCTCAGGTTTTTCAGGAAGAATTAACTAAACTAGATTTGATTTTTCTGGTTGCATGAAGAATCATGTCTTATGATTGATTTATGACGAATTTTTTCAAAAAAATAGGGTCCAATATTGGATCTTGTTACACACCTACTACCTGTTACAATACTATTACATTGATATCTTGCATCTTGCCCTAATAGACATAGAACATAAAGTTAAATAAAACTTGCATTATATTTGTAGTCTGTCTTCAAAGACTCTACAAGAACTCTGGAAGAGAAGCAGGTACCATTAGATACTTCCGAGAGGTACTCAAAGGAGAAATGTTACAGTCGATATAAAACATTATGAAGACTGTGAGCAGCTGTTCATGAGTGTTGGCAATTGCTATCTTGTTGAAGCATTGCTAGAGTTCTTCAAGATGGAAAATGTAAACGATTCTCCAAAGGAAAATAATCCATTGCCTGATCAAGAGGATTTGAGTGAAGAAGAAAAAAAAAACCCACCTAATGACTGTCTTAGACAAGTTCTTGGATGAGTATGTTTTCCAAGACACTTCATGCAGCGATGTTGACAGTTTAGAGGAAAATATCTCAGACAACAACTCATCAGATGGCATTTTTAATTATTCTGTCAATCTTCTTCGATCCTTCATGGTTCTATTTGATTGCAAAGATGCAGTGGCATATGGGAATGGAGAACATTTGGCATTAATCCAGAACAGATGTTGTATTACTTCTCATCTGTTTCTGGATTTAATGTATAGCAATTGAAATGCTAGTTACCACCATCCAGAATGAAGTTTTACTCTCACCTGCTGAGTCACATCTGTGTAAATGGGCTGCACTAGTCAACTGGAAAGGAGGTGGTGGTAAAAACATTGAAATAGACCTGTTGCAAGAGAACCGGAACAGGGACATGAAGGGGCTAATTAGTTTGATGGGAGCAAACAAGACAGAGAAGGCCATCGAAAGGATGAGCAAGGCAGCTGGAGGAATCCGTAAGATTGTAGATGTTTTGAAAACCAAGCTTCCATTAAACAAAAATCATCAGCTCACTCGCACAAGTCCTCATTGGAAGATGAAAAAAAAGTTCTTGCTGATTTGCGCAAATTGAAGCCATTTTCGTATGTTCAAGGAAGATCACATACAACATTTGCTGGAATTTCATCAAACCCACTTTGTGCTTTTGATGAAGAAAAGTTTTCTGAATGGTTGAAAAGACATCAAAAGAACATTGCATTACATTTTCCTGTTGTTAGTGACTTAGATTCTGACAGAGAGGAAACTGATGAACCAGAAGAAATCAGAACTCTTAAAAGGTAGAACTCAGAACACTTTATTTATATATATATATAATATATATATATATATATATATTATATATATATATATATATTTATAAATATTGTATATATTGTATAGTATTGTATATAGAGTATAGTATTGTATATAGAACCCATGTTTTTATGTTAACAAAATATAATAGTTTTTTTTGTACACTAGAATAATAATAATTGTATATTACTATTAATTACTATTAATAATTTCTACAGTATTAGCAATATAAACTACATGTATTGGTGAAAATAAAGTTGCCATTGGGTAATTAAAAAAACAATGCAATAGACACTGCAAAATTGGTTAACAATTTTATTCAATGTTTCAACTAGGTTTCAGTCATCATCAGGCAACTGTAAGTTAGTAAAAAAACCATATAAAAATGTTAACCATCTTTGGAGAGTCTCTTGTTTTGTTCTTTTTAATGCATTGGTAAACTGTATGTAGTTTAGTCAAGATGTTCCTTTCTTAATCAATATGTACATTATGTTTCACAGCACTACATATGTTATTTATATTGTTCTTAAATAGGATCTATGAAGTGCAACTAGCACAATCACATTCTTCACCACAAACACTACAACAGAAGTGTTTGGGAGAAAGTGGTTTAATGTACCTTTCATCTGTGTCCATTGATTTCAGCAACATATATCTGAGACATGTGCCTCTGTTTTGACAATAAACTCGAATATCTTCTTGCATCCCCGGTTTGTTTTTTGCAAACATCGATTATTGTAATATAGGACTGCAGTTGCATGGTTTCCATCTCTCCCAGCTCTTCCAGTTTCCTGAACATACGCTTGTATTGTGTATGGTGGAGTGATATGCACAACACTTCTGATGCCTTTGATACAACACCCATCCCCAAGGCTACTGTTGCAAATACAACCCGATTGTGCTTCCTGTAGCACATGTCAACTGCTTCAAGAGACTTCATCCTTCATCTCCTTAGTTTGAGGCGAATGAAACTGTGCAAATAATCTGTTTTCAGGAATTGGCTGCCTCCCTTGGGATAATATTGATCACATCCCAGAACAAATTCAACAGTTTATATGCAAACCCGCACCACTTCAAGGGGATGTAGATTATTGTCAAAGGATAGCACATCTGCTTGTTTTTCAAACCTTCAGCTATAGGAGTAAGGATTTCTGTGAGAGAATCAATATCTGGTCCAGTTCTGAAATGCTTTTTGTTGTTGTTCATGCGATCAGGATTGCCAATGATTTCCAACATGTTTTAAGCCCAGGGATTTTTGATACATCCTATCATACGGTTTGCTGTTGCAAGTCATGGCTATGACAGGTACATTTGAAAATGTGGCACACAAGGCACCCAGATTTCCATAATCCACTCTGAAATCTTTACCCCTGATATAAATATAAAACACATTGAAATGATAAATATATACTATACACTTGAAATTGCAAGACTTGTTTTATAGGAGGAAAAGTTGTGTAATATATACAATGTATTTTATGTAATAAACACTTACCATTCTAAAATGCAATGGGACTCATCAACAACAATAGCACAAACGTTCTTTTGATACACAATGCTTCGCATCAATCTTCGTCCATATAAACAGGAAACAAGCGACTCAGGGTGTGCAAATACAATATTATAATATCCTTCTTCAAGTTTTATTTTGTCATTAGAGGAAAGTCACAAACAACATCAGATCTAATGCCATCATCTTTGTCTTCCGCATCCTCAGAGTCTTCTGCTGCTACGTTCCTAACGTCGAGGACTGATGCACGAATTATACCCGCATTTAATCGTGAAATCTGGTCTTTCATCAGAGCATTTAAAGGCGACACGACGACGATTATAGAATCAATGTGTTCGGTGTATTTGGCAACACCGTTCTTAGCCGCAAATAACAGAGCAGGAAGCAAGTAAAAAATCAATGATTTACCGTATCCAGTTGGTAAAACCGCAAGAACATCCGAATTAAAAAATACCTTTTCTAAGCAAATCACCTGTTTTGGCTTTAACATGAATTCGCTATACAAACTATTTTGTATTGCAAATTGCAAACACGAAAGGAAAAGCCCGCATTTAGAGTTTGAAAACATGGCGACAATACATATACATTAACTAACCCCCCCCAAGGATGAAATTATAATTGGAGACACGTGACCAAACAATACCAGGGTCTTTTCTCAGCGGGTGTTCCCCCCAGAGTGAGCACAGAGAAAAGACCCTGGGTACGAGGTTGTATAGTACCCTGGTCTATGATGACGACCAGTGCGAGCAACAATGGCTCCGGTTTTTTTGAGTTTTTCGATACGTGCACCTCCGACACGTGGAGCGCCTGACAAGATGATGTCAGTGCAGGCAAGATTGCCCCGTATATACAATGAAATGTACGCTTGTAAAATCTGATTGTAGTCGAAATTGCTCGACCACAGTAGATAAATAAGCGATTAAAATAATAAAAACCCACAAAAAAGCAATACAGCTTACCTTAACTTTGCTAAAACGAAACAACGCTGTCAACGCCTCCACGAAATCACAGTGGAAACCAGTTCTGCTGGGCAAATTGACTGTGAGAATCAATTTCAAGGTCGCTTTACAATCTACCAGGCCTGGTTACGCTGCCTGTTCGCTAATCGCCTGTTCGCAGGTTAACTAAACACAACATTGCATTTCTTACCAGTATGTTGTTTCTTTGAATATCGCCTAGTTTTATACTATCCTGTCTCGTAAATCTGCTGGAAAACGCAAAAAGAATGAAGATGAACACCTAGACTCGATAATTGATGAGATTAACACCATTACAGGTGCAGAGTCTTCTAAAAGTAGAAAGACTCGACCTAACCACTCAAGTAAAAATAAAGATATTGACATCGTACTGAGAAGAGACGAATCTGGCCAGCGAATATATCACAACCCAAGACGATTGTCGCAGTCTAGCTGGGCAAGACGAGGTAAACGCGGAAATGTCAATAAAGTTTTTGTGTTGTGGAGTTTTGTAGGTTATTTAAGCTTTGACTTTTACTGTTTTACACCACTTATTAATAGGCAGCAATATCACTGCAACTACTGCAAACAAGGAAGGATTTGTCGAGACAGACTCTGTGAACGAAAGCAATCCAGAGTCAGGTAAACACTTCAATCACAGTTCATGTGTTATGCAGTTATATATTCTAACTGTATATTCTCATATTACTGATATTAGAAGGTAGAACCAGACAAATTTTGATAACCTTTTCCAAGCCTGCATGTTCCATCTGCTTTGCTGGAATCCAGGCTGTAAATACGTCCAAATATTCGCCCAATAAAATGATGTATGAATTTTATTTTACAAGTATAATGGTTTTACTGTTTAGTTTTGGACTACAACTACCATAATTAGTCCTGCACAACAGTCAAATCATTATACTAAAAATCAGCCTCAAATCGTTATAAAATTACAGTGGGGTTAGGGTGAATTTTCTGGCCCCGGAAAATATCAAATGATCAGCTTCTGAAGCAAACCGAACAGGAGGATATTTGTACCCTTATCACCAGGAGAAGATGGAGATATTTCAGGCATGTGCTGTGAAAGAGCAATAACAACATAGCCAGAATTGCAATGCGCTGGACACCTGAAGGTAAACGGAGCAGAGGGCGCCCAAAAACAACATGGCGCAGAACTGTAGAAAAGGGACTGAGGGAGCTCAATTACAGCTGGAGCACCATTGAAAAACTGGCTAAAGATAAGCAGGGTTGGAAAGATTTCGTTGCTGCCCTATGTGCCACATAGGCATGATGGGCAGTAAGTAAGTAAGTAAGTTAGGGTGCTATTGCCTTAAATAAATAATAAAATAAACATATATATGGCTAATCTCATTATTACCTTAAGTTATTAAAGCATATTGAAACTAGAGAGTGAGGTTAGAAATATCATTACAAATTAGCCTATGTATGAACATAATGTGGCTGTATGATTGTAGGATGTGGTTTAATGGGTTTTGTGCTCTACCCTAAGATATTTTTCCTAAGTAATATAGTAGCGATTTTATTTAAATAGACAAGCATGCAAGTTTTAAATCACTTTTAATGTATAGCTTTTATAACTAAATAGTGGAATACACAAGATTGAACAAACCTGTTGATCTCTTAACTGACAAAGTAGATGAACATTTTGAAACTTTTGAGCAAGGTACAGGTAGAATTAATTTTGGATCTACCATACATCTACCTTATATGGATTTGTTAAATAACCTAGAGTGTTCCATGTTTGAAGGTTCTGTACAGTAACAGTATGTGACCTACAATAACATTTCAACTTGAATTAATTTCTTAATGTAATGGTATATGCATTATTTTATAGACCTTGATGCAATCATTGAACAGTGTGAGGAAGCTGTTGGGGAATTAATGATAATACCACTGTGTGGCAAAAACGAATAAACATCTTGAGGAAAACTGGGAGAATGCTAGAGGAGCTATATTCACAGTGTTTTGTGTTCATTTGCCCCTCCACTTCTTCATTACATTGCTCTAAAATTGATTGCACCAATGTTGTGCAATTGAGGTGTAAGCAGTGTGGTGTTTTTCAATATTTATATGTCAACTGTGATGAAGAAGTTACATCAGTGTCAGCCTCTTCATGATCGCGAAGTTTGGATAAATGGGTATTTTCAATACATTCTTCCAACTGAGTCAATAACTGATGATGGAAAGCTTGTTCCTGTTGGTATGTGTCAATAATTATTTTCAATTAATAATTTTTAAAGGCAGTGTACCTTGCAATATGGTTGCAAACTATTTACAAGCAACTGTCTATAAAATAACTTAAACGGATATGAGGTACACAGGAATCTGCACTTCCAAATTTGAATGAGAAGTTTGGAATTCAGAGGCTTTTATTTATAATGGAAGGACCTAAGGGATAAGCTGTAATTTTCCTACTATATTTAAGGTCGTGCATGTCCGTTTCTTTACCCAACATCTTGCTTGGTGTGCGGGGAATCTACTTTGAAAACATTGAACAGCTCAAAAGTTATACTCATCACATCTGAAGGTATTGTATTTTAATGCGATCAAAAATTGAACCTAATCATAAGTTTACTACAAAATAATGCCGTACATGTTGGTGCCAGTTCTTTTTGTTATTTTTTTTTATTTCTGTGCTGATGTTTATAGTACACAGTAGAGTGTATATTGAGATAGTATAATGTAATTATACATTCATAGTCAATCATTAACAGTATATGCTAAGATTGCATGAGTATAAGTAAACCGTTAAAGTTAATGGATTTTTCTGATATTTAAGGTTGTTTTGACCTCAATTGGTTTAACATACACTGTTCATCATGTACTTGGCAATGGTCACCAAATTCGTTTGACTGTATAGTTCAAAGTGGGTTTTGGCCAGGAAGTCCTGCCAATGTAAACTACTTGTTTCATCAAGAGCTGTTTCTTCTTTGGGATGCCTTCCGGAAGCAAATGCCAGGCTCCTCACAAACTGCTTTTATTAGAAGCTTGGAAGACATGTCTCACTCCAAAAAAAAGGGTGAGTGCTGTATATTGTGGCAGTTATCAATAATGTATTAGCAAAAGCCTGATCACACTAAAAGAAGATAATCATACAAATTGAATGGGGTACATATAGTGTGTTGGATGGTATTTAATTAGCACTCAGTAAGGTCAGAGCATACAAATGTCTTTTTTCTTTGTATTAAAGGCAGATGTAATTACTGCAGCAACATTTAGGAAGGCCTTTGCAGAGTGGTGCTATTGTCAATTTGAACTGGCTTCGCTACAACTTCAAGATTGGAGAAAATGCCCACCATGCAGTGTTGACCAACACTCTTGTCATATTGATGGCAACCACAAGGTTTATAGATATGATAAAGTATCAAGGTACCACACCCTAATAGTTCATGTACTTGTGTGATTTATATTTTCCTAACATGACATTTGTAAGACTACATACATTATAAAACAAACTGGCTATATGTCACTTAGGAAATTTGAATATTTAGGGGTACAAGTCCTTCTTATTACAATGACCATCTGATTGTCGAAAATGCGAAAGTAGATTCTCATATAAGAAGCTTGAGTTCCAAAATCACGAAGAAACATATGGTAAAGTTACAGTATAAAATACTGGTCGTTGGCCGATATTTTTGTTCTTTTTCGTTCTTCACATAGTTAAATTTAGTTGGAATCTTTTTTTGTTTAGAAAGAAGATAGTTTTTGTGGTGATACACATTGGAAAGCTGCAAAAGCTGTGTCGAAAGCGAAGAAGAACCAGGATGAAACTGGATTGGTAGTGTATGGTGGCCGATCGCTATCATTCATATTTTTGTTAATAAAAGAAACAAAATAATATCTATACGTATTTTAAATGTAAACAGATTACAAATTGCATTTCAATTGATAAACGATTTGAAAATAATAATCAAAATCAAATCAAAATGAGAATCAAAATCAAAACAAGAATCAAAATTAAATCAAAATCAAAACGAGAATCAAATGATTTTACAATTGCAAATAGAAGTGAATATGAAGTGAAATTTTATCGGCCTAGCGCTATCAAAATTCATTTGAAATTTCACATGACTTTAAAAGATAAATCACAATAAAATGCAAAAAAAATGAAATTGAAATTTTATCGGCCTAGCGCTATCACAGTATACCATAAAGCATTGCGCGCTATTTCCTGTGCGGAAAGTCTGGCATATTAGCATTTTATACATTAGCGCCTGTATTCAAAAAGCTCACTCACACTCATACTCATCGAGTGTGACATATAAATTTCGTTAATGCTGATCAATGAGAAAGTTTTTTCTGAATAGATGGAAAGGTATAAGGTAAATCACTGAAAATCACTGAGCCCCTGTTCGGCTGGAAATAATTATGAGATATACATGAGAATACATTGAAACGTTATGAGAAGATTAAGATCTCCCACTCAATGAGTTTGAGTGTGAGTGAGCTTTTAGAATACAGGCGTAGGTATACAATATGGCAACTGGTTCATATTTTAGAAATGATTCTTGGCAAAACGATACAAAATTAGAAGAAGATATGAAAGACTTCGTACGTCAAGGTATTCAACGCAAGGAGATGTTAGACTTTTTGAAACGTGATTTCCCGCAATATGCCTGGAGTATAGCAACCCTTGATAGACGCCTTCGACATTTCAATATCAGATACATAGACACAAATAAAATTATATCTATTGAAAATGTGCATGATGCTGTATCGAGCGAACACCATGGCCCCGGTAAACTCCTTGGCTATTGTGCGATGCACAAGAAGATTAGACTACTTTTTAATACTTTTAAAGATAGTATCTGGAACACACACAGAATCCGCCCGACACATCCGCACTCAAACGTTGGACCGTCATTGACTCTTCCTCTAGTATTTTAACACCAGACGTATTCTTTTTATTTCCTCGTTTCGCTGTCATTTGCTTTTTAAAATTCTTCCAAGCCGCTCGATCCGCCATGTTCGACAGCAGGACGGAGCACATGCAAATTTTAAACACATGCGCGACCACATAATTTGATTTGAATAGCGCGCAATGCTTTATGGTATACTGTGATAGCGCTAGGCCGATAAAATTTCAATTTCATTTTTTTTGCATTTATTGGGATTTATCTTTTAAAGTCATGTGAAATTTCAAATGAATTTTGATAGCGCTAGGCCGATAAAATTTCACTTCATATTCACTTCTATTTGCAATTGTAAAATCATTTTGAGTCTCGTTTTGATTTTGATTTAATTTTGATTCTCGTTTTGATTTTGATTCTCATTTTGATTTGATTTTGATTATTATTTTCGAATCGTTTATCAATTGAAATGCAATTTGTAATCTGTTTACATTTAAAATACGTATAGATATTATTTTGTTTCTATTATTAACAAAAATATGAATGATAGCGATCGGCCACCATAGTAGTGGCTGGCTGCAGACATTCTGTTTGTCAAGCCGCCTTGAATATGTTTAGAGGAGAAGTTTATGGTTATGCTCACTATCTACATTTAAATTTTGTTCATCCAAACAATGTTAGGTTCTTGTGGGAGGATGTGATATGTAAGTACTGGCCATGGGCTAAGCGAGTCACTTCAGAGCAGAACAAGAGGGCATTAACTGATACAAAACCAGCCTTGTCACTCATGCATGGAAAATCGCACAGTTGGAACTGTCAGGTATTTTTACTAGGTCTAGATTCTTCGTTCTGGTCTCTGTATTGGTTTGAAACGTTTAAGAATTTCTCTTTCAATTTGGCAAGAGTTTATTTGGACAGAACTTCAATATAAATTTTGGGGCATGACATAATGTGTAGCAAATTTTCATTGCATTTAACATAGGTTATTTGGAGTGGAAGATGGCAAGAAGGTGCTGCTGCAACTCCTGGGGAGGAAGTTGAACAAATCAACAGCTATCTCTCCAGACTTGGATCCACCACCAAGAATATGATAGCATCAGGTTAATATAGAATGTAATTGTGCATCACTGCATCCTAATGGAGATCAGTGAACCGTATAACATTGACATTCCATGCATTCCTTTTACAGGTCGCGAGGATTGCATCACTGAGCATCTATTGAGTTGGAATAAGCGAAAAATCTCTAATCTACCTAAGCTGTTGGTTCTTCGCCTGAAAAAGGTTAATTACAGTATATATTTTCGCTTTATATGTAAAACGTTTTCGTTGCATACTTGAGCTTATGCGTTATTCTTTTCAGCATTCGTTTAGTCTTTCTTTCAATGCCTTTCTGTAGACGGAAAAGAAACTGGACGAGGCGAAAACGGAACTTGCTACACGTATGTGCGTGAGATTAATTTATCAGACGCTGATTTGGATCCCTCAGTTGTGTCATGGAAAAGAGATGTTCAGCAGTTTGCTACTGGTACGACTAATGATTGATCTTGTTAAAATATATACTGTACTGTACGAATTGATCAAATGTATATACTTTATGGATTCTTTAGAACAAAAAGCAGGAAAAAATGTTGACGTTGGGGATTTAGGAGAATTCTACCTTTTACATCATGTGGTACAAAATGCTCAACAACTAAATACGTTTGTAAGTAGGAACGATGACCAGACGCAGATTTTAATCGGGGATAAAAAATTTCACCAACTTGCTGCAGATAAAACAAAGCAGTTGAATAAGAACATGGAAAGATTGCGTGTTTTGTCGTCCGAGCTTTTGAATTCCACCGTAACAGAGGAGGAGCTTCTTGCTCGGGGGAAGGTTGAACTTGCGAAAGTAACATTGTCCAGGTTGCAGAGAAAATTGGAGATGCTGTACTTTTCCATTACGAGGCGGATGAAGGAGATTTCGTCGCTTGCTGGTTGGTGTATAACAATTTTATTGTTACTTTAATATAATCTGTTTATCCCGGTTACTCACATCGTTCGGAGTTAATAACTAGGTCCGCGTACTTTATTTTATTTGGTTAAATAAAGGCTTTCTCTTTAGATTCTAGTAAAAGGAGATCATCTATGCGAGCAAAATGCTGAAGGGAAAAAACAGAAATAGCGTCCACAGTAGAAGAGTTGAATTCAGTTAACAGCCTTCTGAAACTGCCTGCGACAAGTGCTGAGGCTATTCTTGCGGGAGATTTTCTTTGGTCGTTTAGTGAGGAACCAACAACTACGAAAAGTATAGCCAATTTACTAGTGTATCATGGCTACATTTTTATCGAAAGAATAGAATTTTTTCTTTGTTTCTTAATCTCTATATAGATTGATTTAGATTTTTTGCTATGCTATAGGTCTTCCTGTACGATACAAGGCACAGGTAGTAGAAAAGTTCATGCTGGTTCAAAGGCTAAAAGAAGAAGAAGACCAAATAAGAAAAGAAATGAAGAACTTCCTCGTGTTCTATTTAAAGAATATTTTGGACAACCTTCATCAAAGAAAAGCAGACATTAATGAGCGAATAGGTATAAGTATCAGATATTTTCCGAACTTTTGCAATAGCTGTTATTGTATAAAGTCTTGACAATAAACTTGCTAGAAATTGCTAGAAATCTATGTTTGTTTCCTTCATTGATTTTTTTACAATGGTCTTTGCAAAGCGCTGTTTTTACCTGAATTTGTATTTTTAGTGCAAAGTTTGAGAAACTTTGCAGTATTGTGATGAGTGGCGAAAATTCAAACGAGTCAGTCAGTCAGTCAGTCAGTCAGTCAGTCAGTCAGTCAGTCAGTCAGTCAGTCAGTCAGTCAGTCAGTCAGTCAGTCAGTCAGTCAGTCAGTCAGTCAGTCAGTCAGTCAGTCAGTCAGTCAGTCAGTCATAGTGTAAACTTTACGGGGGGTAGATTGATTTATGCGTATAGTACCTTTTTGAGTATGATCAGTAATTTAAAGTTTTTAAATCAGTTTAAATTGCTTTAGTTATTAATGCACTATGTCCTTTTTGCAAAGTTCACCAAAATATTGAGGAATTTTGGCGGTTACTGTAAATTTTGATGCATTGCTTTTCCGCGGTTTAGGTTTTGTTTTAAAACGATTTGCGCTGTATTACCCCCCGGAACACCCGATTTTTTCTTACACGTCGCAACTGCGCATGTGCCGTCCAGACTTGAACATTATTCACGATGTAAAGAAACGAGGAGCGACGAGCATTGCTTCAAAACATTCCGGGCGTAAAAATCGAGCAATTCTTTGAGAATCTACGCAATTTATCAACTTATGTTATGAATTACGAGCATTCAATTCAACACAAATATAATTTGGAAGGTTTATTCCATAAATAGAGCTAAGAGGTTAGGAAGAAACGACGCCGTGTTGTTTATGTATTGATAGACTCTTACACAGTTACACGAATTTATATTATGTCGATAGCAAGTCGATACCTGGTATTCTGCATACAGTACATAAATGATACTATAAAAAACGGACATTTTGTGCAGTAATCAAATCATTTTGGCAGTATACAGTATTGATTATAAGTATATTGTTTTGTATCGATTTACGCGTCGAAGTATCCACATCATAGACATAATATGCACCGCGGTTTATTTACATTATTTACAACGCAACTATTTTTGCTATTCTTATGAAGTGACGGATAAATTGTAGCCATCGTATATATGTAGTGAATGTAGTCACAGTTGTTTGACGAAGAAAAGAGACTAAACTGAGAAAATCGCGCCCGGTTAGGTTTACATGGGCAACTAAAATTGTAATTTATTAGTGACAGTATCCGCGGCTAACGTAACTTGAGTACTTTGAGTAATTTCCTTTTGATTAATGTTTAACCTAGTTCATTATATTTTTACTGGCATAAGTCAAACAAAATTTTTATGTTGGGACAAACGTCTGGTTGCTTAGGTATTACAGGGCATGAAAACTTTGCACTATCCTTGGATCCCTAGTTAGCTTTTATTCACGACGTCAATGAACCTGATGATAAATATCAAAACGAAAATGAGGTATAACAATGTATTAATATGTGTGCACCATAATGGCATGTAGTCTTCTGTGGTTTAGTGTTAGTCTCCAATTTTCTTCGTATTTTACATTTTCTGTTGTTGTAGAACTTATTGGCTGATAGGAAGTGTTATTCCTTGCGTTGCGAAAGAATCGAGACATTACAGGGTCAACTTGCTATTACTAACAAAGGAATAGCTTTTGCCAAAAGCCAGATTGCAGTTGGTTTGAAATATTTTCGACATCTAGGTACTTCTCTGGCAAGCCTGGAAGAAATTGATGAGAAATGCGATGATGATGATGTCATAATTAATAATAAAAATGTCATATATTATAGGAAAAATAAATAGTAATAAAACTCTAAATTTGTATACTGATCTATATATGACAATTCCTTTTTAGTTTAGGAGTGTTCCATGCATGTGACAAGTTCGTTTACAGTTATCAATATACTGTAGTTTATATATCATAATCTTCCTAGTTCCTACGCTCATATTATGGTTATAAAACTTATCCCGTCGTAAAATGCACTAGAATGGATAAGCCTACTTACTCAGCACTCGTTGGAGTGTTTGAAAATTTGCATTATATTGAAGTTTGGATGCATATTATAATATTCGCGACTATTTATACCATATTATGTTTGTTATGATTAGCATGGTTTTGTAAAGTTCTTGTACGCCTAATCAATGCATCTTACGCGAAGCAATGGAAATATCTCTCTTTATTTTATTTCAGGATATTGTTTAATTTGTGTTAAATCAACTATTGCTATCATAAGGGGATAATATATGGGAGTACGAAGTTGTGTGTTTTAAAATACGACCCTCCCAGCTTTGTTAATAAGCGCAATCTAATACGTCTTTCCTGGGCATTGTGAACCCTAAAATGGGCCGAAATAATCAAAATTTTCTCAAAATTTCCCAATTTGGACTTATGTTTGAAAAACCCTAGATCCGCCCCTGCGGACGTTGTATTAACGTCGCGCCGTGACGTTAATCTTAACGTTACTACCACGTTCCTACAAGCTCACAAAAAAAACGTTTACCCAAAATAACGTTATCTAAGCGTTCGACGAACGTTGATACAACGTTCATACAACGTGATTGTGCTAGCTGGGTTTGGTGTTTACCACATATTAGCACTTACCAGACGTAGGCTTCCAGCCGGGCTGGTAAATTTCCTTGTGCATTAAGCCAGTTTCTTTTGGTCCCACCTGGTACATAAATTTCTGAAAGGGTTATTTGGATGAATTCTTTTGAAGCATATCTCGTAAAATGGAAATAACCACAATGTTCAAGTACAACACACAACAGACTGTAATGCCTTACATACAGTGTTCTATGCCATATAGAGATGTACTGATCAAGAACTCAAGTTGGTGCCCATTGCCAGTCTCTGCTCGGTTTTTACTCAGCATTATGCACCATTTTGTTATTCGCCATTGACGAGTTAAGGTGATTTGGATTTCAGTCTAACATTAGCACTCGATGGCATTAACATGCAGCGACATTCGCGATCGAGTGACTATGCTATCGAGTGACCCGAGTTGTGCATGCGCACATTTTTATCATTACACAATTGGAAAAGCTAATTTTCTCAAACAATCAAAAAAGGTGTGCTAAAATATTAAATCTCGGGAATTCTAAATCTTTACAAAACAAAAACAGCTTATACTTGATATTATTTCAATTTTAGGAGTAATGAAAAGCGCATCAATTCATCCATATTTCGCGAGTATAGCGGCGATGAGTATGTTCCTTTTTTACTACCTTTATTCAAAAATATACCCTATCCTTTAGCTTTACTTTAGCGTACTATATCGCTGAATGTAGCAACCAATACCAGTGTAATGTTTTATCTATTGTTATACTTAAGTCTTTTCGGTGTCATTAATTAATTGATCATTACTGAAAGAAAGAGTGCTCGAACTGTTTCTGCAAATGCTATAGCCCCCCCCCCCTCCCCCTACGCTGGTATTCCCTGCATGTGCATTTCTCTAATTAATGTTCAGTATACCATTTTTATATCTCTTCACTTTAGAATTCAAAGCCGATTGTAACGAATGTGTCCACATCTGTGTCTTGAATTCATCATCATCGGCCTCCTTCGGTCTGTGGTGACCATGGGTTGAAAATCCTAGTTGTCTGTCCTGCTGGAACAGCGCCGCCTGTGGCTGAACAGGCCGATGCGCGAATGGCAGTCTCTGTCACACAAGTCACACTTGTGGATTGTCTCTGTGCTGTGAGAGCGGTCACGTTCTTTTCTGCGGGCTCGCTTTTCCTCCGCAGCACCTTTCAGCCGCTCCTCTCCTGTCTTCAGCTGTGTGGTCGCTGTGCTTCTCCATCTAGAGCGGTCGTCGGCCAGGCTCTCCCAGCGCTCTGTGTCGATCTCAAGAGCTTTCATGTCCCTCTTGCAGACATCTCTATAGCGCAGCTGTGGGCGGCCAGTGCCTCTCTTGCCACTCGCCAGTTCTCCGTAGAGGATGTCTTTGGGGATGCGGCCGTCCTCCATGCGGTGAACATGGCCCAGCAGCGGAGCCTTCGTTGTCTGAGCAAGGTAAACATGGTTGGAAGGCCGGCGCGAGACAAGACTTCGGTGTTGGGCACTTTGTCCTGCCACGAAATGCCCAGTATGCGGCGGACGCACCTCAGGTGGAAGGCGTTCAGTCTTCTTTCTTGTTTGGCGTAGGTCGTCCACGTCTCACTCCCGTACAGTAGTGTACTGAGGACACAGGCATTGTACACTGCCATCCTGGTCTTGATGGAAAGTTTGGAGTTCTCCCACACTCGTGTGGTGAGGCGAGCGAGTGTTGTTGCTGCCTTCCCAATTCTTTTGTCCAGTTCTGTGTCCAGTGAGAGGTTGCTGCTGATCGTGGACCCCAGGTATGTGAATTCGTTCACGACTTCCAGCTCGTAGTCGTCGATGGTGATAGATGGTGGCACTTCCACGCTCTGTCCCAGTACTTTGGTCTTCTTTAGACTAATAGTAAGCCCGAAGTCCTTGCAGGCCTGGGAAAAGCGGTCCATCAGGGTCTGGAGCTCCTGCTGTGTGTGTGTTGCGACTGCAGCATCGTCGGCAAACAGCATGTCGCGGATCAGGGCCTCTCGTACTTTGGTTTTGGCTTTGAGGCGGGCAAGGTTGAACAGCTTGCCGTCGGATCTGGTGTGTAGGTAGATCCCCTCTGTTGATGAGCCGAAGGCATGCTTCAGGAGCAATGCAAAGAAGATCCCGAAGAGAGTCGGGGCGAGGACGCAGCCTTGTTTGACGCCGCTGCGTATGTCGAATGGCTCCGAGATACTGCCGTCGTACTGTACAGTTCCCTTCATATCAGTGTGGAAGGATTCGACGAGGCTCTGCAGCTTTGGGGGGCATCCTATCTTTGGCAGGATCGCGAATAGGCCTTCTCTGCTGACCAAGTCGAAAGCCTTCGTCAGGTCAATGAAGGCAACATACAGCGGCATGTTCTGTTCTCTGCATTTCTCCTGGAGTTGGCGGAGGGAGAAAATCATGTCTACCGTTGATCTGTTGGCGCGAAAGCCACACTGGGACTCAGGGTAGACGCGTTCGGCGAGTTTCTGTAAGCGAACGAGGATGACGCGCGCGTACACCTTGCCAACTATGCTGAGGAGAGAGATCCCCCTGTAATTGTTACAGTCGCTTCTTTCGCCCTTGTTTTTGTAGAGGGTGATGATCTTGGCATCCCTCATGTCTTGAGGTACAGCACCTTCCTTCCAGCACTGGCAGAGGACTTCGTGCAGTGGACGCAATAGGGTAGTCTTGCAGTGCTTGATCAGGTCGGGTGGTATACCGTCACTGCCTGGAGCTTTTCCTGCGGCCAGGCTGTCAATGGCCTTATTGAGCTCATCCAAGGTTTGCTCCGCGTCGAGCACGTTCATGGTCGGTAGGCACTCGATAGCATCAAGAGCTAAGGGGGACACTGTGTTCTGTGTGGAGTAGAGGTCGGAGTAGTGTTCCACCCACCTCTCCATCTGCTGGCCCTTGTCTGTGATGGTTTCCCCAGTGGAGGATTTGAGGGGTGCCGTTTTGCTCTGAACTGGGCCCAGTGCCTTCTTGATGCCATCGTACATCCCTCTGATGTTCCCAGTGATGGCGGCAGTCTGAATGTCTTCACTTAGCTGCATCCAGTACTCGTTGGCGCAGCGCCGTGCCGTCTGCTGGACTTTGCTCCTTGCAGCTCTGAGGATCTGGAGGTTCCTCTCGTTTGGGGTCCGCTTGTACTCGGCGAGAGCAGCGCGCTTGGCTTCGATGACAGGGGTCATCTCAGTCGTCTTGGCTTCGAACCAATCATGCGACTTGGTGGTTTTCTTCCCAAAGGTAGTCAAGGCTGTGTGGTGTATGGTGTTTCGCAGTTCCTCCCACCTCTTCGTTGCAGATTCCTCGTGCCCCAAGGTGCCAAGCTCCTTCTCAAAGGCGGCGGCGAACTGCTCCACAAGTTCTGGTTGGGCCATCTTGCTGGTGTCAATGCGTGCCTTTCCTTGCTGTCTGGCGCGGTGGAATTTCTTTGGCTGCATCCTGAACTTGCAACACACCAGTGAGTGGTCTGTGTCACAATCCGCACTCTGGTAGGAACGGGTCAATAGCACGTTCTTCAGGGAGGTGCGTCTGGTCAGGATCATGTCCAGCTGGTGCCAGTGTTTGGAACGCGGGTGGCGCAAGGAAACTTTGTGTTGTGGCTTGGTCTGGAAGTAGGAGTTGGTAATGCACAAGTTGTAGTACGTGCAGAACTCCAGTAGACGCTGTCCGTTTTCATTCATCTTGCCCACACCAAATTCACCGAGGCAGGACGGCCAGGAGTCATGATCGGCGCCCACTCTGGCGTTGAAGTCGCCAAGCAGAACTAGTTGTTCTGTGCTGGGGATATTCCTGACAGTGGCTGCTAGGTTCTCATAGAACTCATCCTTGGCTTCTGGGGTGGCGGCCAGCGTTGGGGCGTAGACACTGACGAGAGTGACAGGGCCTTCAGTGGTGTTAAGGCGGAGAGTCAGGAGTCGCGCAGAGCCATTGCTGCCTGGTTCAACCATCTTCAGCAATGTATTCCTAACTGCAAAGCCCACTCCGTACTCCCTGGGCTCGTTGGAGCCCTTTCCCTGCCAGAAGAACGTATAGTCTTTCTCTCTCAGTGTGCCCGAGTCAGCCAGTCGTGTTTCCTGCAGGGTGGCGATGTCTACGTTCAGTCTCTTCAGCTCGTCGTTGATGACGGCGGTCTTCCTGGCGTCGCTGATGTGTTTGAGGTTTTCTGCGAGGCCGGTCATCATAGTTCG